GGACTGTGAAGACAATAAACTTCTCTCTGTTAAAACCATCCACTTGTGGTACTTCTGTTAGAGCAGCACTAGATGACTGAGACAATGGCTTAGCAGTGTTTACCCAGCTAGACCAGAACCCAGGTTTTTAGACTCCAAGCCCAGCACTGTTTTGACAAAACTGACTGGATGCTACACTGGAATATTTTTGGTATTGCAGAAAGAAAGAAAATAGACAAATTCTAACACCGTGCCTCATTGGGGACAGTGAATCCTTTTCTTTGCATTTTACAGTAAGTACCTTTTCTCCTTGAGCACATTCTTACAATCTGCATTGTGCTTCCCATAAGTGTCATTCATTTTTCAAAAGCGTTTGGTAATTATCCTGTATGCTAGAAAATTTGCCCTAAAGGGAAGGTGATGTTATGTCCTTAACACTTTCTTTAGAAATGTCTCTTTCCTACAAATCTTCAAAAAAGTTCCTCCCTTACTGAAGATATAGAAGACATTATATTGGTGGTTTAGAGCGATAATGGTGCTGTGGAAGGATTTACTTTTTCAAATAATTTTAGGATCCAAACACTGAAATCGAATTTTCAGAATTACTTACAGATAGTTGTTAACCAAGACTGTGGGCTACTGGTGTGTTTTGTGTTTGTACAAAGAAACCAGTTCCAGTATTTTGCGTTAGCTGAAGTTATGGGTTGGTAATTTAGCATTTGGAAAATCTGGTAAGGCTCTAACACAGGGATGGATCAACTTTTTTTTTTATTTTTTTAAGACTAATGACTCCTTTTGGAAAACCTTTTGAAGAGTAAAAAATCAAAATGATATCACATACCCCGCTCATGCCACACTAGTCCATTTCTGAAAATAATAATACTTTCTCAAAATGACGTAATTTATATTTTTAGCCGTGCTCTATTGTATGCACTGAGTAATTTCTTGAGAGCAATGTTTCCTTTGGCATATTGCCAAAACTGGCTTTGTTTGTTTTTCATTAGGCTTTTCATTATCATGCTGCTGTATACCTGCGTCATTTTGCTTCCTCCAAGACAGCCGGTGTAGCTTAAGCGTAGGAGTGATACTATTAGTAGGTGGAGTACTTTTGTCCACTGAATGTCCATTTTTAATCCCTGGCTATGGTACCATACGAAAGGTTTTAATCCTTCTAAGAACTTTCAATTATCCATTTGTAATGTAGCTTTATATCAATTGTTTGCATTCAACTATTCTGTCCCTGTCCAGGAAAAGACATTAGTCTCGCTTTGCTCCACACGAGAACTGCCTCTCTCCTCCTCCTTTATTATCTCAGGAAAAGGCATCAAGATCCACCCCATTGCCCAAGCCTGGAACCTGTGTGTTTTCTGCTTTTCTCCATCACTTCTTACATTCAGTCACCAAGTCAAACTTCTTGATAGCTTTCAAATCCATCCACTTCACTCTGCGTCCCACAGCCACTGCCTTAGTCCCAGCCCATGTCACCTCTAGAACAACTTCAGTAGCCTCCCCATGGTCTCCATGCCCCTATGATTACTCTTCCCAATTTATTCTCTTTTGCTCTGAATGTCCATCAATACTCATCATTCCTTATAAATAGGTATTCTGTAATTCCTATTAATAAGTATTTTTGTGTTACATTACATAAATGTATTACATTACATTAGTAGGACAAAGTTTGATCTGTCAAGAAAAAAATAGTGATCAGAATTTTTGAGCTTCTCTAGAAACTCCTCAATTTAAGGGGAAAATCTATGTTACAAACTGAGAGAAACTAAAGTTTAGGGACAAAATAAGCAATCTATAAATTTCTGTATTAGAATATTCATCGGAGGTTTAAAAATACCATTGAAATCTGAGAATTTCAGGATTGGATTGGTCCTTATAGATCATCTGGCTCAAATTCATCACTTTAGAGGTGAGGAAACTAAGACCAAGTCACAGAAACCAAAATTTTCTTTCTAAATTTGGAATCTCATCATGTAACTTTTTCTTAAAACCTGCCCATGGCTTCCTCTTATGCTCAGGTTTGGAGTATAAATTCCTCAGCACTGCATACAATATCTGTATACACTGGCCTCTGCTTACCTTTCTAGCCTTACCTTTTGCTTCTCTCTCCAACTTATCCCAAGAACTTGATGCTTCCAAGTGCAGTGTGTCTCTTACCCACTGGTCATTGCATATAATTTCCACTTTGCTCTTACCCTTTTGGGTGCTGAGTCCTAAGTGTCCTTCAGGTATCTAAGGAGACTTCATCTCCTCTGAAAACTTATCCCAGATCCCCTCTGGTCTCCTAAGCATACTGTCACCATCATAGCATATTGACAGCACTCTGCTTGTCTTTGAATAACCCATTTCCCTCACTGAATTGAAAGGAATCAAGACAGCTGTGGGCAAGGACCTGACTCCTACTCATTTTTCTATCCCCACATCTGGATCAGGTGTCTTGCAAGCAATGTCTTTAAATTCATTATGAATTCTCACTTTTAACCTTCCTGGTATACTTCAATTTTTATATCATCCTCCCTCACAAAATATGTTGTCAGGGGAAAAATGACCTATTCATTCATATTAAAGTATATCGTTGTTGGGTGCCATCGATTCGCTTCCAACTCATAGCGAACCTACGTACAACAGAACGAAATGCTGCCCTGTCCTGTGCCATCCTCGTGATCGTTGTTAAAGTATACCTGTTGCTGTCGAGTTCGTTCTGACTCATAGTGACCCTATAAGACAGAGTAGAACTGCCCCATGTGGTTTCCAAGGAGTGCCTGGTGGATTTGAACTTCCAACCTTTTGGTTAGCAGCCATAGCACTTAACCACTACACCACTAGGGTTTCCTGTTATAGGTCGCTGATAATCCTAAATGGCAACTCTTCTTAGAAGTGTTTATATTTTTAAAGGAATAGCATTTTAAGTCACAGGAGTGAATATCCAATGTAGATAATCCAATCATTAATAGTAAATAACAGAAATATTTGTGAGAGGAGGGAAACTTTCCTGGAGCCTTCAAATCAGTCACATAGGTGACCAACTCTGTTAGAAGAATAATTCTATGTCTTTGTTTAGAAAAATCGAATCGCATGTTGGTTTTTTTTTTTTTTTCTCTGTTAAATAAATTCTTGTCATCTACCTACAGTAAAAAAAAAATGACTGAATTAACATGTAATATGTCTGGTTTTGTTTCAGGGAAGCAATGTTATGGAAGATCAGGATTTGTTAGAAATCGGAATCCTTAATTCTGGGCACAGACAAAGAATTCTACAGGCAATCCAGCTCCTTCCAAAGGTAAGCAATGCTTTATTACCCTAGCCCTAACTATAATTCCCAGTAATTCTAAGTCCAGGCATGCAAAGGATATTAGTACTTAGGACGACATTCTACAAATTAATGCAGTGCCCAAGAACAGGTCTTCTTAGATCCGACTAAACATTCAGACTCACAAGACTACTATCGGCCATACTTGGTATTAGATCTGCCTGTTGTTGTTGTTGTTAGCTGCTGTCACATGGATTCCAACTTGTAGCAACCTCGTGTGTGCAGAGTAGAACTGCTTCATAGGGTTTTCAAAGCTGTGACTTTTTGGAAGCAGATCATCAGGTCGTCTTCCGAGGCACCTGTGGGTGAGTTCAAAATGCCAACCTTTTGACTGGTAGTTGAGGTAGTTGAGTGCTTAACCACTTGTGCTTCCCAGGGACTCTAGATTTACCTAAACCAAAAAAAAAAAAACATTGCCATGGAGTGGATCCCGACTCATAGTGACCCCATAGGACAGAGTAGAACTGCCCCATAGGGTTTCCAAAGCTGTACTCTTTACAGAAGCAGATTGGCACATCTTTCTCCTGTGGAGTGGCTGGTGGGTTTGAACCACTGACCTTTCTGTTAGCAGCCAAGCACTTTAACCACTGCGCCACTGTGCTTAGAAGTTCAAAATCAAAGTGTCACCAAGGCCAGGCTACCTCTAAAGGCTCTAATCCTTCTTTATTTCTTCCTAGCTTCTGGTGGTTGCCTGCATTCCTTGGTGCTCCTTGACTTTCAGCTGCATCACTCCAGTCTCTGTCTCTATGTCACATGACTTTTATACCCATGTGTCTTCACATGCCCTTCTTATAAAGACACCAGTCATTGGATTTAGGGCCCCCCTTAATTCAGTGTGACCTCATCTTAGCCAATTACATCTGTAAAGACCTTATTTCCAAATAAGGTCATATTCTGAGTTTCTAGATGGACATGAATTTTGGGGGGATACTATTGAACCCAGGACAGGTCTTATCTTCTATGGGAGTCCTTATACTGCTACACACAGCAGTCTAAGCCTCCCAGATGACACCTCAGGTGCAAGGAGACAAGAACCATATTGGTGGGTATGGGAAATTTCCTGGCTTAGAAGCCTCATGGCCCTTAAGAGGCAATATCTCTTGTAACAACTCCATTGACTTAGCCTCCAGGCTCCCTACAATGGACCTGCTCAGGTACAAGCATCTTCACACTCATGGAAGCCCAAACTATTGTATCCTTATCAGGTATTTATAGTTCATGTATAAATCCTCCTAGTCCAGAAGTAGTTTACCAACCAGGCATCATTTTACTGTAAGCAGTGTGTTACCTAGCAACAGAGTTGATCATCTGTTTCCAGATGAGGATTCAGAGGAGCCTAAAGAAAGAGGTAGGATAGGATCTGAGCACTGGCCTCTCAAGATATGTAGGATTTTAATTGGTAAAGATAGGAAAGGCATTTCAGGAACCATATAAATACAGGCAGTAAATTGTTGGAAGCATTAAGGGAGCAGTTAGTGAGACTGTGATTTAAAAATCCAATGTGACTAAAAAATTGGAGAGTGTAATAAGACAGAGAGCAGAAAAGTAGGTTGAGTCCGTTTGTGCCAGGCTAAGGAATTTGAAATTTGTTCTGGTAGGCACTCAGAAACAGATACGACCAGACCTATGCTTTAGACCAGTTAATCGGGTGTCAGTATACAATGGAATTTAGAAGAAAGGAAAGTTAAAATTAAGAAAGGATTGAGGTGGGGCAAGATTGGAGGTTTGGTAAGCAGGTGAACTGTAACTTTTCTTATGGAATAAAGGGAGAGCAGAGATAGTACCTGGATATATAGGATTATCCTCTGTTTTGTACTGTCTTCTGCTCTTTTCTTTTCTTGAGGAATTACAATTTCTCCTTCCCAGAATGAAAAAGATCAATATTAACCACTGATTCTAAGGAGGTTATCTAATGAAATTTACTGGCTGGCAGCAAACTGACTTTCTAATGATAGAAATTTTATACTTCTGCAAATTCAAGGAAAGTCAAGCATACAAAGGAATTTAATAATATATTTTTCTACACTAGAAGGAAAAGAATAAAACATCCTTAGAACTAATTCTAGAAGTCATTCCTATAAGCATAATATTCATGTCCCTACTTTTGTATCTTTAGTTACATTATTACTCCCTTCCCAGGTTTTCTCTCCACACTCGAAGAAGGCAGGGGACCTTTCTGTCTTATGTACCACTGTATCCCCAGCACCTAACACAGTGCCCGAGACATGGCAGGCATTCAATAAATCAATGAATGACTCCCCTTTGTCAAAATGCTGCCCCTCTTTTAAAGCTCAACTCAAATCATATCATATCACTTCCTTTGTGAAACTTTCCCTAAAATGGAACTACTTTGATAATTATCACCCTGCTCCAAACCAATCATTTCTAGCTGGACTACCACAGTAGAGTTGAATCTTTCATCTCTAGCTTGTTGTTGTTAGGTGCCGTCGAGTTGGTTCCAATTCATAGCGACCCCATGTACAACAGAATGAAACACTGCCCAGTCCTGCGCCATCCTCATGATTGTTGCCATGCTTGAGCGCATCGTTGTAGCCACTGTAGCAATCCATCTTGTTGAGGATCTTCCTGTCTTTCACTTCCTCTCTTTCTCTATGTTAGACTACTTGAACTGATTTCTTGTCGGTCCTCTCTGTCCTGGACAATTGCATAGGTATCTTTCTTCTGTCCTGTTTACTTCTCTTACCCCTCTGCAGTTGAATTCCACACAGCATCTGGAATGATTCCTCTAAAATCATAAATCAGATCGTACCATATCCTGCTTAAAATTTCCGGTGGGTTCCCTTTTCATTAGAATAAAATCGTTATCATGGCTTACAAAAGGCAATAGGATCTAGTCCATGCCCACCTCTATGACATCATCCATCACCTGCTCCTTTTCCTATACTCTAGTCATATGGATTTCTTTTTGTTCAGAACATGCCAAGCTGATTTTTGCCTCAGGGCCTGGCTTAGTCACCTAGTATTGCTGTAACAAAAATACCACAAGTGGGTGGCTTTAAAGAACAGAAATTTATTTTCTCACAATTCTGGGGGGTAAAAATCCAATTCAGGGTCTCGGCCGTATCCATTCCTTCCTTGTCGGTAGCCCCCAGTGTCCTTCTTTATTGGTGATCCTGTCATATGGCATCTGTCTTCCCCAGTTTGTGCACCCTTCTAAGTCTAATCTGCTCTTTCTGATAATTCACAAGTGATTAGGTTTAGGACATGACCCACACTGACATGGCCTCGTTAACATAACAAAGAAAACCCTGTTCCCAGACAGGATTACATCCACAGGTATAGAGGTTGGAATTCCAGCACATATTTTGGGGCAACACAGTTCAATCCATAACAGGGCCTTTCCATGATGGTCCCTCTGCTTGGAAATCCTTTCCTCCAGATCTTCATATGCTTGCTCCTGTATGTCATTAAGTCTCTACTCATATGTTACTTTCTCTCAGATGTCATCTTCCTGACCTAAAATAACATCACTGTCCTTCATATTACCCTTTGCTTTTCTTCATAGCATCTATGATACCTGAAGTTGTATTATTTATTTGTTTTATTTTGTTTTGTTTTCTTCCTTATTTTTCATCTCTCCCACAGGATGCAAGATCCCTGAAGTCAGGGACCTTGACTGCTTATTCACTTCTGCATACCCACCCCTTAGAACAACACTTGGCACATAGTAGGCGGCCAAGAGATATTTGTGGTACGAGAAAATACACTGATCTCTCTTTCCTCTGAGTTTTTATGGCCCTACGTTTGTTTCTGTCTGAAGATACTAACAATATTTTACCACTTCTTCATCATAAGGAGTCCCTGGGTGGTGCAAGTTAACGCACTCAGCTGCTAACCAAAAGGTTGGAGGTTGGAGTCCACCCAGAGGTGCCTCGGAAGAAAGTCCTGGTGATCTTCTTCTAAAAAATCAGCCATTTTAACCCACGTGGAGCACAGTTGTATTCTGACACATATGGGGTGGCCGGGAGTCAGAATCAACTTGAGGGCAACTGGATTTTCTACATTAAAAGCATCCTGAGGCCAGAGAGAATGTCATATACATCCTTGAATTTCCCATTGCACTTAGCTTAATGTGTGCACTTTTAAAGAATGAAAGAATAAGCGATTGAATGAATGGCTATCTTCCTTATGTGTTATTCAAATATTTTTTGTATCATAGAGTACATCAATTTTAAGATATGTCTATAATCCCATACATGCTGTTTGATAATGAAGAACAAAAGAACCTGAACCTAGAATTATTTGGGGGAATAAATGGAGTGTTTATTTCTAAGACAGAACATCATGCCCGTTAGAGAAAACAATATAATAGAAACAATGCAAAATTAAGCTTCTATTAAGAGGCTGATGAAGAAGTGCTTACTATACACACAAATGAGTAGAGAAGATATAAAAACATCCAAACACGTCTTCAGCAGCACAAGCAGAATGTTATAATTCTACAAATTGATGCTTGCTTTCTTAGTAATGAGCCCAGTCTTCAGATGGCTAATAGTATAATTTTACTGCTAGCACATTTATTTGCATTTACTCTAACTTTTCACTGCCAGAAAATGGACAAAATGTCTCTTGATTTTGTTTATGCAATTTTGTCTTCCGAATATTTGTGTTCTTCATCTGTCAAGAGAAATATTCCATGATTGCTACCTGAGATCCTCTAATTAACATATTGTGTTTTGAAATTGGTAAGATTGTTCTCAAACAGAGAAAAGGTGGTTTGCTTAGTTCATCTTGATCTGTTAGCATACTTGGATGCATGTTTTTCATGCTTTATTTGTATTTGTTGTTTTAAGTTTCAAAGAAAAAAATTTATTTCTTGGCAAGAATGGTTTTTCTATGATGTTCCCTTTTTCATATTGAAATATTAACCAATGCAAAAATCTGTATGTTCTCAAGTACATTTGATATATTCAACACATAGAATGTGTTCAGTACATTCAATACATAAA